GAGGGAGGGCCCAGAGGTGGCACGGCCCACAGCCTCGCATGCGGCTGACCCTGATTTCATCCCGCACAGCCTAGGGTCCTCGAGCACGGCCAGGGGTCGCCCCTGAGCACAGAGCCAGGGACTCCCCCCAGCCCCTCAGGCCCCCCATCCTGGGGCCCACTGTCAGATCAGGGCTGACGGGCCATTGGCTGGGGCGCGGCCGAGGAATCCTGCAGCTGGCAGCCGTGGGGAGCCCGGGGCAGGCCTCAGCCTCAGCCAGGCATCCTGCCTTTCTGGAAATGTCTGCTCCAGGTGCCCCGGACAGGGAGGTCACACCCTCGTCTGCTCTGGGGCCTCTCCTGCCCGTGCGTGTCCAGCTGCCGGGGCCCGTGTCCCTCGGCACTTTGCTGCTAATAAACCACACGGAGAAAGTGGGCAGTGTGGCCTCCCGCAGCTTGGCTCCCGTCCAGGCCGCTTGGCCAAGCAGGGGAGGGCGGCTCCTGGCAGAGTGTAGGGGCGTGGTACGCGGCCCTGCGGCCTGTGTCGCTGGGATACCGGCTCTGTCTCTCTCTCTGCCTCTGTCTCTCTCTGTCTCTATCTCTCTCTGTCTCTTTGACTCTCTGTCTCTGTCTCTGTCTCTCTCTGTCTCTTTGACTCTCTGTCTCTGTCTCTCTGTCTCTCTCTGTCTCTGTCTCTCTGTCTCTCTCTGTCTCTTTGACTCTCTGCCTCCATGTCTCTCTGTGGAGGAGAACGTTGGCTTGCCCTGGCCGCTGGGAGCTAGCGTTTGTTGATTGCACCCAACCTGTCAGTTACCTCTGTCTCCTGATCAGACTCTGACTTGTAAATATTGTCCTTCTCTTCTCCTTAATGTCCTTTGCGTGGTTAGCTAATTCACAGCAGTTGCTTTTTGTATGGACACAGGAAGACAGTTAAAAAAACAAGCCTGTGGCTTGGGAGTTGACTGACTCCAGATAATAGACCTCCCGGACATCTGCTCTCTCGACTTAAGCCTCAGTTGTCCTTACTTCCTAGATCCCCAAAAGCAGGATCCCGACGAGGGACTGGACGGACCCAGGGCGAGCGGTGAGCTATGAGATACCCTGGCATCGAAATGGGCCTGGCCAAATGCCCTAATGCTTAACTATAAGTTACGAGCTTGGTCATGGGCAAATTCTGTCACGATCCAAAAGCAATAACTAGATTTGAACTCTGCTGGGGTTAGAAATGATTAATCTGACCGGAGCACTGTAGTCTGAGTCTGTAGTGAGACGTCACCAGGAGAGTCACCCTACAAGCCTGAACGTGTCTATTACTGTGTCTATACAGAATGGTAAATATCAGGAAGGAAAATTAAAGATGTTAATTAAGTTGCAGGTCTAAGGGGAGGAGAAACACACTTTCAGGGCTGATTTGCCCTCGTGGGCTGCAGGTGGTCGGTCGGGAAGACTGGGAAGACGTTTTTGATCACGCTTCCCGTGGGGAGAGGAGAAAAAGAGCGGCTGTGGGGAGAAGGGGGGATTGAAGAAGACAGAGGAGAGGAGAGGAGAGGAGAGAGAGAGAGAGAAAGAGAGGAGACAGGTGCAGCGGGGAGAAAGGATTGGGCAGTTAGAGACACGGATATAGACACAGAGTGAGGGTTGGAGGGAGCTGGGACAGACAGAGATGGAGTAAACGGAAACTGATCAGCAACCCCCACTCCTCCAGCCCCCCAACATGGACCCCTCCCCCCTTCACCCCCCCCACGAACCCCTCCCCCCTCTCTCCCTCACCCGGCCACCCTACATCACCCTACCTCCACCCCCACCCACCCCCCATCCTAAACCTGGCCCTGGACCCTCCCCCCTCATCCCTGCCTCCCGCTTGGCCGCAGGGAGCGCCCTCTGGAGGCCTCGAGGACGTGGCTCTCACAGCTCAGAGCCCTGGGGACAGTGGCGAGTCCGTCACCCGGCAACGTGGCCTCCTCCCTCCTGTCCCCGAGGAGGGCCCGCTGCCTCCCTTCCTGCCACCTCCCGGGGCTCCCAGTACTGTCAGCCCCCACGGAGCCTCCGACCCCTGCCTGATCTTCACCCCAGGAGCCAGAGCCTTGCACCCGTCCCCACGGGGACACGGGGACCCAGACACGATTCAGCTCCCAGCACCCGAGGGCCCACATAGAGCACTCCAGGCCCCGCCCCATTGGGGTGAGAGCCCTAAACCCACACAGCCCTGCCAAGGAGAGGGGCTGCTCCTGCCACAAGCCCCCCGCTCCAGCCTGGAGAGTGAGAGCCGGGTCATGCCCTGATGGGGTCAGAGGCAAGTCTCTGAACTGAACCCAGGGCTGCTGGAACCCGGCCGGGGGCTGGGGGCAGCAGGGTGTGCCCCTTTCCAGCGATGTGGGCCCCGTGGGCACGTTCCCGTGAGCTCATTGCCCAGAGAACAGTGCTTGGAAGATCCTGAGACCCGGGGCTGGTGCCATAAGCAACACTGCTGGCAGCGGCCGGACTGGGGCCCAGGGCATGGCCCTTGCCTGCCCTGCTGGACACCCCGCTGCCTGCACACCCCTCTCTCCCAAATAGATTCCGGGGGCTTGAAAGACAGGACAGCAGGCAGGGCACTTGACCGGGTTTGATCCCAACATCCCATAGGGTCCCTCGAGCACGGGCAGAAGACATCCCCGGGAGCAGAGCGGGAACAGGCCCCCTGCGTCGCTGGGTGTGGTCCCAAAGCCAAATTAAAATCAAAATGTCTTCCCACTCCTGCAACAAGCGGAGGGTCCCCTCGCGGGAGGCCAGTGCCCGTGTCCACTCGTGTCCGAGGGCCCCAGCAGCCCTTGAGGGTTTATGTGAGAGTAAGGTGCGTCCACCCCACCCCCGGGTCATGCCTCTCTGGGCGGCTGCTGGGAAACTCTGACACTCACACTCCTGTGTAGGCGCTGCCTCCGTGTCCAGACAGCCCTGGCCAGCAGGGAGCTTGTCCACTCGCTGCCTTTCCGTGCTGGGAGCCGGATCCTGGCTGAGACTGCTCAGGGTTCCAAGCCAGTTCCCTGCCCGTGAGGCCCCTGTGCCCTGGCTGGGCCTGCACGGCCCTGCCTCAGTTTCCCTGGCTGCCAAGTGGGTGTCCCTCACGCCTGACTCTCGGAAGGTGCTGCTGTTTGTTTACGAAGGGCTCACGGAAGCCAGGCAGGGAGCAGGGAAGCTTCTGGAACACGGGAAGCTTTGTCCTGAGGCCTAAGGCCTTGGCTGGGCCCCTGCAGTGGGGTGGGGGTGTCTCTGGAGACTGCACCTCCGCCCCGGGCATTCTCCTGGGACCGCGGTCTGCTCTGGGCCACCCACCGCTCTGCCCTGTCCTCCCCTCCCAGCCTCAGTGACCACTGCAGTGCCAGGAGGGGCGGGGGCAGCAGCCCGGGCAGCAGGGCTGCACCCGCCATCAGACAGACCCTGCCTGGGTAGGACTGAAGCCGCCGGCGCCGGCGGGCACCGCGTGGGGAAATCCCGCCCAGCCAAGGCACAGCGCACCTCCGCACTGATCGCCAGTCTCCGTGTGCAGAAGGGAAACCGAGGCACGGCGGGCCACTGAGGCGCGTCAGAGAGGGGACGGGAGCCCTGAGAACGCTCCCCGCCGCACCCCTCTCACCCCCGCCCAGGGAACCCATCCCCGCACCCCCCCCACCCCCCACCCCCGCGGGCGGCTGCAGCGGACCCTGCCACCGTCCCACGCCCACCCGAGCGCTCCGCTGCTCCCCAGCCCCCTCCCACCTCGGACCCGGCTCGGCCTGTCTCCAGGCTTTCCCGCCTTGGCCGTCCCGTCCCCGGGGTGCGGTGACTCAGGGGTTCCCAGGAGACGGCGTCTGCGTGTGCTGGAAGCTTCCACCGCCGTGACTCCCCAAAGGCGCACAGCACCCAAGCGCAGCCGTGGCCCAGGCTGGGCCCCAGGTGCAGGGGCTGGGGCTGCCCGGGAGGGAGCAGTGAGTCACAGGGACCGCGGGAGGATTTACTGGGGTCACAGGGCGATGCTCAGCGAGGGCCTCGGGGTTCTCAGGTGGGCGGGGGATAGCGGGGCCCTGGAGCCTGGCGGGTGATGCCAGTGTCTTACAGCTCCAGGCAGGGCAGCTGCCCATGCGGCATGAGTCTAAAATGTGAGTGGGGCCAAGTTTCAGGCGCCCGCCTTCAGCCAGAGCTCTCCCTTAACACGCAAATCTTCCCAGACTGAGCAGATATTGCGTCGCCACCTCCAGGGAGCCCTCTGTGACTGCCCCTCCACTGTCCTCAGTTTCGATTGAGCCTAGTTTCTTGCCTGACTCTCCCTGTGTATGTGGGTGTGGGGGGACGGAGCCAAGGGGGCGGGGTGGGCTTGACGCTTTCGCCCAATCATAGCAGCCCTTGTCCCATTACTTGAGGGGGCTGGGGCCCTTGCTCCGGGCCCCTCACCTGTGAGCTGTGACCACGGGGGCCATTAGCAGAAGGACATGCAGCCCTGCTCCAGTCCTGACAGTCTCGGACGCCGCCCGGGAGCACCCCTGGGACCCCGACTTCTCTCCCACCCGCTTCCTCCCCTCCCACCCGGGCTCCCCCGTTAACCACCCCCCTCCCCGCCCCCGCCACCGGGTCTGCCCAGAGGGTTCGTGGTGGGCGCAGGGCTGAGCTGCCACTCCCCCAGCATGGCACCGGACCCGGCGTTGGTGAGGACACTCGAGCAGGGACGCTCAGGTCCAGGCTCCAGAGCAAGAGACCGAGTCACCAGGAGGACTGGGGGATGCGCGCTGGTGCCCGCCCAGCCTCACAGGCGACCAGCAACACAGCACGCTCCGGCACGAGGTTTACTCTGGACGCTTGAGGGGGCAGCAAGGCAGGGCTGACCGCGGAGGTGGCCCCTGGCTTGGGGTCCGAGAAGCTCCGTGCCCCCCAGCTCCATGCTCCAGGGAAGGTGTGTCACTGCAAAGTCACGTGCATCTTCATCCGAGGGGCAGGGGCAGCTTCCGGGGGCCCCAGGCTGCAGGACCCAACGCTGTCCACCCCCCCGCCCCGGGCCATGGGTCCGTCCCCTCACGCGGCTGCTCCGGAGTTCAGCGCCAGGTGCCGAGGACGTCCTCTCAGGTGGGCTGCAAGGAAGCCGGGAGGGGTGAGAGGAGGCGGGGCGGGAGCGCCCTCCCAGGACCCCGCTGCCAGCTCCCGAGGGCACCCCTCGCCCTCAGGCCTGGCGCGCCGTTTGCTCCCTCCTCCCCGCTCCCGTGTGCTGGATGAAGAAACGGTCTGGCCGGTGGAAGTCTCTGGCCAGGATTCCGGGTGGACGGGGGGGGGGTGGCTCTGCCCAGCCCTGCTTCGTGCTCTGCCCAGCCCAGGGGTCCCCCAGCTGCCACCAAGCAAGTGACAGAGGGGACTGGGGACCTTACGCTGGGCCCCTTGCCTGTGAGGCTGGGCGGGCACCAGAGCGCATCCCCCAGTCCTCCTGGTGACTCGGTCTCTTGCTCTGGAGCCTGGGCCCTGCCGGGCTGACCAGCACACAGCACGCCCGAGGGGCTCAGGGGGTCCCGCCTGGGCCCCCACGGGTGCCAGCTCCTCAGATGCTGAGCGGACAGGCACCGCCCCCTAAGGTCCTTTTTGGGCGACAAGCTGCTAACGGCCCTGTGGGGAGAGCCCAACTCCTTTCCCCCTCCCGGCTGGTGATTCAGGCTGCCTGGGACCCCCATGCAGTCACCCACCTACCTGCCGGCTACGGTCTCTCTGGGTGAGCCCCCTTGGGTCCCGGGCCCTGTCTGACTCGTCCTCCGGGTCGCCCTCTGAGGGAAACCGTAGATCAGGGCCAGGTCACCCTCTTGGCCCGTGCGCACGGCCCCACAAGGGCACCCTAGGGCCTGGGCCCACCCCCTGCCCCCCACCCTTGTTTCCCCAGCCTCAGGGGTGGTCTGGCTGCTCCTCTGCCTCCCTGTTCCTTCCCGGTGGGCTTCGAGACCCTTCCTTCGAGGGGCTCCAATGGCCAGTGAAGTCCACGGGGGCTCCTGAACCCTGAATGACCAGGTCGATGTCAGGGGCGTGGGGTGGGGGGACTGGCCGGGCCACATGCACCACCAGCACAGAGGAGAGGGCTGTGTGCCGACAGCTGTGTGTGACCGACGGCTGTGTGTACCGACAGGCTCATGCAGAAGTTCTGACGATCCTTCCACTGTCCGGGCCGCACGGTCAGCGCTCGGTGTCCCTCCCGACTCTGCGCTCAGGGATTCCCCAGAGGTGCTCGGGGAGCCACACTGGACGTGAGGATCAAGCCCGGGTCAGCCCCTCCCGCTGTCCTGTTGCTCTGGGCCCTGCCCTGCCGGTGCTCAGGGAAGCGTCATGAAGGATTGAGGACGATGGACAGAGGAGGGTGCGTGGATGGACACGGTCGGATGGTGCGTGGACACAGGGTGGCAGAGACTCGGGTATGGATGGACGCCGGGTGGACAGTGTGGAGGGGCTGAGAGGGAGGTATGCGCGATGACGGCTGGAGAATGGGGGGGGACACGTGTCCACGGGGGACAGATGGATCGGGGGACATGCACGTACGGCAAGATGATGGTGTGACGGCACGGCAGTCCATCTGGGACAGGGTGTCTGCTGTGTTTCCCGTCCCCTGGGTGACGCAGGGCACAGAGCAGGGGGATCTGCCTCCCCAGCCCCCAGCCCCAGCCCTGCCGCCCTCACTAGGCCTCTGTGCAACACCCCGTTTGTCCTCTGCACACATTCCTGCCACGGGGGGTGCCCGGGTCCCAGGGGCCATTCACAGCAGGACCCGGCCCCTGGGGGAAGCGTATCTCCCCTGCCCCGGGGGCCTTCGCCTCTTACCCAGGGTCTCCGGGGCGCGCTCACCAGCATCTGGCAGGAGGGAAGTGGGAGGGAAATGCCCCCAGGGAGAGGGTCAGCCTATCAGCATCCCCCCCCCCCCAGGCCAAGGAGACATCTGCATCGTTCCTGTGCTCTCTGGAGCATGCGGTAGAACTTTCTAGGGGCTAGCTGTGTGGCATGTGATGTGATACTGTGGCTGATTGAAAATATTATTTGTCCCCAGAGGAACACAAAGTAGCCGCTCTGGGATGTGAAGCAATTGGGCGGGAGGCGGGGGCGGGGCTTCTCGCCGCGGGGAGGGGCAGGGAGGCGGGGCGGGGCCTCCTCCCGCGGGGGAGGGGGCGTGGCTTCTCCCCTCGCGGAGGGGGCGTGGCTTCTCGGCTCGCGGAGGGGGCGTGGCTTCTCGCCTCGCGGAGGGGGCGGGGCTTCCTCCCGGGGAGGCGGGGCGCTCACCTGGCGGCTGCTTCACGCACTGCCCGCGGTTGGGGACCCCCCGGGCCGCATCGCCCGGGCTCAGGATGTGGCACTCGTAGCCCGAGGGGCAGCGGAGCGGCTCGGCCCCGTCCTCCGTGGTGCTGCAGGCCTCGGCTGTGGGGACACGGGCCCCCTCTGCGTGCGTCCACGGGTGCACACGCTCACTCACGCAGCCCGAGGCCAGGTCAGCGCAGGCACGCGAGGGTCAGGCTCACGGGTGGGTGCACACGTGCGGCCGAAACAGCCTGCACAGGTCCACACGCGTGGCAGGCGAGCACGTAGCCCGCCCCACCCCACGCTCCACCACCACCGCCACACGTGCTACAGCACACGCACGTGCGCACCTCCCTCCCAGACACACGCCCACGAGCACGCGTGTGTGCGCACTAGCCGCACACTCACGCGATAGCCCCCCGCACCCCTTCGCTGCTGCACCCCGTGGCCACCGCCCTCAGCGGTCAGCGCACACCTGCACCGCAGGCCGCCCTGCAGCGAAGCCCAGCCCTGTCTGAGGGGTCGGCAGCGCCCAACCCGGGACGGAGCCCCGTCCCTCACCCCAGGGCCCTGGGAAGGTCTGGGGGCTCTGGGTCGGGCCTCTCCTGCCCAGGATCCGAGGAGGGACCAGAGCTGCTGTACCTGGCAGCGTCTCCTCCGGCCCGTCCAGCAGCCAGACGTTCCCGCCGAGCCATCGAGGTTTCGGCTGCACCAGCCAGTCTAAGACTAGAGCACAGGCAGGGTAAGGCGAGGCCCAACTCACGGGCCTCGGGGGTGCGGGGGGCTCCTGCCTGGGTCACCCCTCCCAGCAGGGTGCCGGCGGCCCGAGGAGACTACAACTCCCAGCCTCCCTTGCAGCGGCCGTGGCCACGTGACCGGGTCTGGCCAATGGGCGCGAGGACAGGTGAGGCGCTTCCTGCCCGCCCCCCTCGGCTCCCTCTGGGCAGGTGGAGCAGCCGGCCAGGCGCCTGTGTCCTCCGGCCGGGGTGGCCGCCCCTGGCCTTGTGGGTGTGTGCGGTCGTGGCCGGAGTGAGACTTAGCGACACTCACTCTTGTCTGTTGAGGTTTGGGTCGGTCCTGGCTCTGCTGGATCCGGACGAGCGGGAAGGTGGTGGCCCCCCCCCCCCCGCCCCCTGCAGCTCAGCATCCCCCCTCGGACCCGGGCCCCGCTGGTCAGGACCGCCCTGGAGGCCCCGGAAGTGTCCTGGAAGCGGCAGGCGGGACGGGTTCTCCACTCCGCTCCGTTGGGGCCCCGCATCTATCTGGGGCTCTTTCCTCTCTGGACAGCTCCCGGGCTGCGTAGCTTTTTTTTTTTCTTTTTGGGGTCACACCCGGCGATGCTCAGGGGTTACTCCTGGTTCATGCACTCAGGAACTACTCCTGGCTGTGCTCAGGGGACCATATGGGATGCTGGGGATCGAACCAGGGTCGGGCCGCGTGCAAGGCAACCGCCCTATTCGCTGTGCTATCACTCCAGCCCCAAGCTGCGTAGCTTTGAGACCCCACAAGTGGCCTCCCTGCACGGGGCCAAAGGCAGAGGACATTTCTCCACACTCTACCTTTGCGTGACCGTGGGCAGCGGCTCAGCTCAGAAGCAGGGCTGGGGGCTGCCGGGCGGGGACGGCTGAGCCTTGCTTGGCCGGTGGGAGGCCCATGTGCCCCGAGCACTCCCAGGAGTGACCCCTGAGCAGAGTGGGGGTGAGCCTCAGCACTGCCAGCTGCCCCCCGGAGCCTGTGAGCACTGAATGAGATATGTGGGCCAGCCCCAGCTCCAGCGTTTGGGCATAAAACAAAACTTGGGGGTCGTAGTGAGAAATTCCCCAGTCTCCCCCTCCCTCCTCTTGGAGAGGGCACTTTGTGGGGGGAGGGAAGTCACCCAGACCCCAACTCTCAGACGCAGGGAGTACCCCCAGCAGGCTCAGAACAGCCCCGATGCCCGCTGGGCTCAAGGGCCAGGCTGGGCCCTTCCTGCACCCCCATCCCCCACCCCGGGGCATGACCCACCTGGGGGGTCCGGGACAGTCTCCAGGCAGGCGAAGGCACAGCCATTGTAGCAGCAGCGCTGGGGCGGGGAGCACTCGGCGTCTGCCTGACAGCGCTCAGCCTGGCAGGCGCCCACGGGCAGGGACTGCGGGGGTGGCGGGCAGTGGTCAGCGTGAGGCTCATCCTGTGGGCACAGGGCAGCGCTGGGCTCAGCGACCCCATCCTGGGCTCCCACAGATGCTGTTTCTCGCGGGACAGCCCAGCCGCAAGGCCAAGGCCCAGCAGGTGGGAGGGCCCTGGGGTCTGGAGGGGGTGGGGCCTCAGGGCTGTCCCGAGGAACACGGGCCAGCAGGCTCTCAGCAGACTGGACAGCTGTATGTCCCGCTGCACATGTGACCCGCACACGCACACACACGCCTCTATCTGCATGTCCTATCCATGCATGACCTACACACACATACACACTTCTTATCTGAATGTGATCCTGCCCACGCATGACCCACACACCTGCACACACATGCCTCTATCTGCACGTGCTCAGGTTCACATGTGATCTGTACACACGAAGACACGCCTCATTTTGCACATGCTCCTATCCACGTGCTACCTGCACACACACACACACACGCCTGTCTGCACGTGCACCTTCCCACGTGTGACCTATACATATGCAAACATGCCTCAATTTGTACGTGCTCCTGCCCACACGTGACCTACACACCTACACATGCACACATGCTACAATTTGCATGTACTCCTGCACATGCGTGACCTGTGCATGTGCCCGAAAGTCCCGTAACTCAGCTGAGCCTCGTCAGCGCAGCGGTGGGGAGGCAGCACCTGGAGGACACAGCAGGGCCCACTGACGCCTCTAGCTCACAGCCAGGCAGTCGGAACCTGGGGGAGCAGGACCCCACCTCGACACCACCGGGAACCCGCTGCTATAGCCCTGGTGGACCCCGGGGAACCACAGCCCAGACAGCACAGAGCCGCTGGGCAGAGAACGGCCGAGGGAGTCCCCAGCACAGGCGCACAGGGAACACACCTGGGATGTGTAAGGTGACTTCCAAGTGCAAGGCGAGACATTCCCCGCCGCCGGGAGCGCTGACGCATGCACTTCCCACGGCGCCCTGCAGGTGGCGCCAGGCCACTGAGAACGGCCCTGGGGAGGAGGGTCCGGAGCCGGAGGGGAGGGGCGGGGCGGGCCTGGCAGGGACAGGTGCTGGGGCCCAACCTGGTCTACCCAGAAAACTCCATTTGGGGGTGTCCAGCCACGCCCAGCGGTGCTCAGGGTTCACCCCTGGCCCGTGCACGGAGCCCGGGGCCCACAGGCGGCTGGGCTGTCCCTCCAGCCGGTCGGGGACGGTCCTCGAGACTCACTTAGGTCATCTGACCTGGCAGGGGTGCGGGGGTTCTCCCAGCCAGCCGGAGCAAGGCCCCCAGGGGCCCTCGCCCTGCCAAGAAGCTCTTAGGTCTTTTCCTCGGCATGAGCAAAGGGAGCCCCATGGGCGTCAGTGAGACGCTCTGACACTGTCCCTGCAGGCAGAGGAGCGTGGGGGTCCCCGGGGAGAGCTGGGGGGGGGGTCGTTGTGGAAGGGCCTGTGCCCCCCCGCAGTCAGCAGAGAGCCAGGAGTGAGGCGGAGTGTTTGGGGCCGGGACGTTCTGGTGCTTCCTGGGTCTGAGACAGGACGGGCGTCGCCGGACGGGATTCTAAATAAACCCCAGGGTGGCCTCCCGGGGACGCTGGGCTCAAAACCCCAAGGCCAGTCCCACCAGAAGGCCAGACCAGAGCTGTCCAGCCCCCCTCTGGCAGCGCCCCCTCCCCTCTCTTGCCTGCCCTGCCCTGATGGCCAGCCTGGCCTCTGGGGACCCTGGACCTCACACGCCCAGGGTCTGTGCTGAGGCCACCGCGGCCACCAGCTCAGCTTTGCGGGTGGACCCTGAGTCCTGGAACTGCCCAGTCCTGGCCTCCAGCCTGGGGAAGTGGGGGCCTCCCCCTGGGGCCAGCCCCAACTCAGGGCACAGCCAGCTCCCCCCACGTATTCCTCCTGCCCCCGCCCACCCCTGAGCCTCCAGCCAGCCCCAAGCCCTGAGTGGACATGGAGGGGAGGGTCCCCATGCCACTGTCTGGCCACACCCTTCAGGGCCCCAGAGCCAACGAGTCACCTCTTCTTTTCCTCCCCAACGAGGAGTACTAAAGTGGGGGGTTCTGGCCTCGCTGGACAAGGCCCCTCCCAGCCCAGAGGGCCCCGTCACACACGGTGATCAGCTCTGGGCCCCGCCCCTGCAGGCCCCCAGGAGCACTGTGGGAAGAGAACTCCTGCGGGGTGCTTGTGGGCAAGGCTGGCTCCGTTCCACTGAGGCACGCGGCCCCAGGGTCCGATCTCCTGTGCTTCCTGATGGAGGCCACGAGACCTGCCATCCTCCAGCCGTGGAAAAGCCACGGGCAGGTGCAGGGACCTCGGCCACAGGCTCAGCCACGCAGATTCCAGGCGCCTGGATTCCACAGGGGCAGGGCGGGGTGCACAGACCCGGGTCCCCGGGGAGGGCCTGGGCAGGCCCTTAAGGCTCTTACGGCCTGGCCGTGCCTCAGTGAAGCACATTAGCTGGAGGAGTCAGCGCGGCTTCCTGGCAGGGCCCAGCACCCCCTGGAGCCGGGAGCCGCCTTTCCGCGCCGTAAACATCCTTCCCTCCAGGAGACCCGGCCATGAAAGGAGAAGGCAGATTCCGGCCTTCTCTGGAATGTTCCAGAGGCTTCATCACCAGACCATAAAACCCCCAGCCGGTCTGCCGGTGTGGGAGGGAACCAGCGCTCTGGCCATCGCACGTCCTGGGATGTGGACAGAGGCCTCGGCTGGGGTCTCCACACTGGGGACGGTCCCCACCTCAGCGCCTGTCCAGAACCTGCACTCCTGGCTCCTGCCATGGGCCTCCCCCTACCACGGCCTGTCCCCAGGCCGGCCGTGCCAGGACACCCCTGCGTCCCCCCGCTGCCTGCAGGACAGGCAGCCAGGGGGCTCGACCCAGCACAGCCACGAGGAGTGAGAGCCCCCAGGAGGCAGGGGCGTCCCCCCAGGAAGCCGCCAGGGGCCTGGTTTCCCTGGACATCACTCAGGGGGCTGGAGCAAGGCACAGCGGGGGACTCGCGGGCACCCAGCCACCAGCCCCCGCAGGAGTGACCCCCAAGCACTGTCAGGAGGGGCCCCCTAAACAGACCGTGTCCTCTCCAAGAGGCAGAGAACTCCTCACCTGTCGGCCGGGATCCTGGAGCCCAGAGGGGCCTGCAGGGAGCACGTGGGCGGGGCCGAGAGGCTGGGGGCAGGGTCGAGCATGGGGGTTGGTGGGCGTTTGGGGTCCCCGAGGCCTGGCGTTGACCACAGAGCCCCTTCTGCGGCCTCCTGTCCAGGGCTTGCTCACAGGGCTGCTCCCTGCCAGTCGCGATGTCTGCGGCCCCTTCCCGGGACCCCACTGTCCCCTGAGCACCTGCTCTCCCGCGGCCCCCTCCGCTGCTGGCTCTCCTCCTCATCCCTCTGTTGTGTTGTTGGTTCGGGCCGCACCCCGGGATCCAGTGACGCTCGGGGCTGGCCCGGCTCCGTCACAGGAATCGCTCCTGGGGAGCTCGGGGTCCCCATGGGGTGCCGAGGACTGGACCCGGGTCTGCAGGCGCGCCCTCCCCGCGGTGCTATGCCTCGGCCCCTCCCCGGGTCCTTTGTTGCGGTCATTTACCAGGTGACTGCCCGAGAATCCCCAGCATCAGTGCTCAGAGAGCTCAAACACCTTGGCTGAGGTCACAGAGCCGGGGAGTCTGGATTCAGACCCAGTGTTGGCTCGAACGTGAGGTTTTTTTTTTTTTTTGGGGGGGGCGCACCTGGCAGTGTTCAGGCCTTGCTCCTGGCTCTGTGCTCGGCCTGGCTCTGTGCTGGCCCAGCACCTTCCCCACGGCCCCACCTGCAGGCCCCACCCACGTGTCCCCGTCGGCCCAGCACTGCTGACCGTGTCCCGCTGCCCTCCCCGACGTGACCGTGCGGCCCTCGGAGGGGCTGAGCTCACGACCCCACGGCCACCCTGCTGCCAGTTTCCTGAGGGAATGAGCAGCCGTGCTGGGCCTGGGTCACCCCGGACCCGTGTCTGAGCCGGCCAGAAGCAGCCACAGGGCCCTGCCTGTCCCCTCGTGCCTGGCTTCAGAGGGACCTGCCTGCCTGCTCTTCAGGGACAGGGGGTCTGCAGGTGGACAGAACCTCCCCCGCCTGCCCGCTCGAGCACTCACGTGGGGCTCCTCTGCCCGTCCCTCACGCAGCGCCTGTTTCCAGAAGCTTCTGGCAGCAGCAGCCTGGAGCAACAGCAGGAAGCCCAGAGTTCGAACTGTCCAGCGGCCGGGCAGAGACATCTCTGCGCTGCCCCAGGGCGAGAGGCCCCTCGAGCTGTGGACGCCTGCTGGGTCCAGGCCACTTGTCCTGGCCTGGGGACTGGGTATTCGTGCCAGGGCTGGCAGTGGCTGGCAGTGACAGCTGGCCTGGAGCTCGCCACCCAGACGTCCAGACAGTGGGAGGGGCCCCCCACTGGCCAGGGACGTGGCTGGAGGGCGGCTTCTCCGGATACTGAGACTTCCTTGCGGCCCCTCCCGAGGGATGTGGGCTGCGGGGGCTGCTGGGGGCTCCCGGTGCCGCCTCGCCCATGTTTGGAGCGGGGCTGGCAGGGACTGCCCTGCAGGCAGCGGCCCACGAGGCCAGTGCCAGTCCCCGGGCACTCCCGCCAGCGCCCAGGGCTCCAGCATCTCGGCCGGGGCATCTACTCGCCACAGATTTCCCGCCCCTGACATCTCCCCGCTCTAGTGCCCAGTCCACGGCAGGAACAGAGGCCCCACGTCCAGCTCGGGCAGTCATGGAGCAGATGACGAGCAGGGACCTCAGCCCCTGTCGCCCACCCCGGGCAGCCGCCTGTGCAGCCTCTATCCTGCTTGGCTGCGGGGCCGCCCTGAGGTGCTCGGGGACCCTGGCCCCAGTCGGTCACCAAACCCGCTCTTGGTTCCTTGTTCTGGTTTTTGCGGGGGGCGGGGGGCTTGTGTTTGTTGCTGGGGAGGCCACACTGTCCTGTGTGCTGGGGATATTTGTCCCCTGGTGCTTGGGACTCTCCACGGGCAGTGTGGGGGGGGGGGGGAGGGAAGCTGGGGATCGAACCGCAGCCAGAGTGCAGGGCCTTTGGCCCACTGCCCAGTGTGTCAGCCCGCCCCCGGCCCGCCCCAGCCCCCCCCCCCCGCCCGCGGCCCCACCCTGCCCACGACCCCCGCCCCGCCTGCGCCCCTGGCCCTGCCCCCCCACCCCCCGCAGATCCACCTAAGGCCTGCAGGGGTGAGGGGTGTTGCTGCCCTTTACTGCACAGGGGTGCTCCCTCTCTCAAAGGTGCTCCCTGCCCTCATCCCCCTCAGCTGGAGGGTCCCTCCCATGCCCTGGTGGGTTCCGGGGGCTGCAGCCCCGTCTGCCTGTGCCCTGCACCCCCTCCCCACTGAGGAGTGGGTGCGAAGAACCACGCACAGCGGGAGGGGCGGGGGGTCGGGTGTGCCAGGGCCCCCTGAAAGTCCCTGTCCTCGAAGTCTTATGGGCCTCCACCATATCCAGCGTGCTGGTGGCCTGAGCCTGCATTCTAGAACGTTCTAGAGCCTGCCTTCTCGTCCTTTCTGGGGAATAATCGCGCCCCCTTGTGGAGGGTCCTGGATGCGCCGCTGCCTTCCCCTCGTGGCCCCACAGGCCTTGACGCACACAAGGCCATGTGGTCTGCCTGTGCCTCAGTTTCCTTATCTGTCGATGGGTCGCGAAGCCGGACACTCCCCCATAGGTCTGTTCTGAGGATCAGCTGTGACTGCAGGAGCACTTGGGGCTCAGAGCCCAGGAACGGGACCCCTCCCCCCACACACGCCCCCACCCCTGCTCCCCGGTCCCACCCACCCCGTCGCCTCCTTCCCCTTCAAATGCTGATGCTCTTCCTGCTCTCCCAGAGTGCCCCCTTCTGCCCTCACGGCCCCCTCACCCCCCGCCGGAGCCCGCCCGGCTCCCCCCTCAGCCTTTCCTGTGACCGCAGGAGTCCAGGACGTGTGATTGTCTCTGGGCCACGTGGGGCTGAGGAGGGGACAGAGAGAGGGACGTGGCTGCTCGGAGACAGGCTGGGTGGGGGTGGCAGAGGGACACCAGACCGGGGACATTGGTGGCAGACACTCACGGGTGGGGGGACGGTGCTGGACCACTGTGGGGCGGAGACCCCATCAGGAACAGCTTTGCGACTGTGCATCTCAGGGCGACTCAGTTAAAAATACAATAGACAGAGGGGTTCAGGGGCTCAGGGGACACCGGCCCTCCCCCCACCCTCCCAGCCCTGACGGACCCCACCCCCACAGGATGGATCCAGATGGAAGGTGTGAAGAGAGACCGGGTCAGGCAGGACGGCGATGCATCAGGTGGCAGGTGGACGTGGCCGGAGGGGCAGGCTGGACAGATGAGAGCGAGTGGGCCAGCAGGTGAGGAAGTGGCCGAGTGTCAGCTGAGGAGTGTCCAGAGGGGCGGCCAGGCCGTGAGGGCCGGTCACTGTGGGCGGGGCCTGGCTGTCCGGCTCCTGCTGAGAAGTTTTTGTTGCCATGCAATAGATGCCGAAGGGCTATTCACACCCCTGGCCTCTGGCCTCCTGATGGACGTCTCTCACCAAGCATTTACAGCTAATGACCCTGCAGAGGCCTGAGCCCCCATCCAGCCGACACTGATCTAGCAGCGTGATCACAGACGTGGGGACCGGGCTCCAAGCATCACGACCTGGGCTGTCGGGTCATTGCACAGAGGAGGAAACTGAGGCAGTCTCAGGCATCTCATCCTGGCTCTTTCGCTCCCTCCTGACCAGTCCCGGGAAGTGCCACTTCGGGAGCAGTTGGACATCGGTCTGAACGCTGTCCCCAGAGTCGCCCCGTCCGCCTGCTTCCTCCAGCACCTGAGTCTGTCCTGTGACATGGCCTCTTGGACCGCTGTGGCAGAGGGTCACTGTGGGGCCCTGCGGACCCCCAGGTTCTCAGTCCATCCCGGCTCCAAGGATGAGAGGCGCTTGGGCCCTGTAGGGAGGGGACCCCCGAGGCCTACCGGGCTGCACTGGCCAGTACTCAGGGGGACCCTCTGCAGTGCCAGGGGTCAAACTAGGGTCGTCACGGGACAGCCGGCAGGGCCCTCATCCATCTCCCCGGCTCCCAAACTGCTCTCTGAATAGTTTTGTTGTTGTCGGTTGGTTTTGGGGGCCAGGCCTGGTGGTGCTCCAGCCTTACTCCTGGCTCTGTGCCCAGGGGTCCCTCCTGCTGGGGCTCAGGGGATGGAACCCGGGTGGCCACGTGCAGAGTGCGGCCTCCCGCCTGCAGCCTCTGTGAATTTTATGTTCAAAACTTTAATAATATTCAGGTCTCTCTCTCTCTCTCTCTCTCTCTCTCTCTTTCTCTCTCTCTCTCTCTCTCTCTCTCTCTCTCTCTCTCTCTCTCTCTCTCTCTCTCTCTCTCTCTCCCCTCCGCACCTAAAAAATCCTCCAAATAAAATCTATTTATTTCACTTTAAAAAATAATATTCAGGTTGGTGAACGGTTAAGGAGCAAAGGTAACCAGAATACTTACTACTTATAGGAAAAGAAAACGTCTTGAGGCCCTTCTAGGGCCGAGCAGGGAGCGCCAAAGAGGGCGTTGCCTTGCAGGTGGCCGACCCAGGTTCCATCCCTGTATCCCGCATGGTCCCCTGAGCACCGCCAGGAGCGATTCCTGAGTGCAGAGTCAGGAGCATCACAGCGTGGGACCCAAAAAGCAAAAAAGAAGAAAGAAAAACAGCCGTTCCCTTCCCTGCAGTCAATGCACAGGGGCTGGCCCTCCCGGGGAGTGTCCTGGGGCCCTGCGGCCACTGGGTGGGATGTGATTCCATGGCCGTTAGCCGCCCGGCGGGGGTCTGGGGCTTCGGAGGGATCTGGCCTGAGATGAGAGTCAGTGTCCTTTGAAGCCGTTTCCAGGGCTGTGGAGAAGGTTAAGCTTCATGTCCCCCGTCAAGTGGCCTCCAGGGACTCCTTTAGTCTGATTGAACGGCGATGGCCTGCAGTTGGGCTTCAAATGGCCTGGAAGAGAAACCACTGGGCCCCGACACGGCGCAATAAAAATACTCAATTCTGTTTCAGCACCTAATGAGGACTCAGGGCTGGGAGCTGTCCTGGCCCAACCAAGGGCCAAGGATGGGGGGGAGGGGCACCGAGCCTCTCGGGCTGCAGCCAGCACCAGGCAGGCGGTGTGAAGGGGGTCTGGGGCGGCAGGAGGAGGGGGCAGGAAGCCGATGGCCTGAAGGGGGAAGGTGTGGAACTCACACCCAAATTCACACACCTGCAAGATCCTATGCGGGAGGGGCTCTGCACCCGCATTGCTTCTTGTGTAAACTGAGGCAGAGTACGCCCGTGTCCTGGGTCAGCAGTGGGGCTGGAGCGACAGACCAGCTAAGCACCCGGCTCGGGGCTGCCCTCTGCGCACCCAGCTTCACCCCTACCCTGGGCCTTTCTTGGTTGTGGTAATAGGGGGACACCTGTCAGTGCCCTGGGCGACGGCTGGCTCTGTGCTGAGTGTGTTTGGGGACCCCCGGTGCAGGCTCGTCCTCGGGCCACTCCCCAGCCCCGAAGACTCTGTGGCAGGCGCATCTCCTTCCCTCCCCCCGCCCCAGACAGTCCCGTCTGCACCAGGCCCGCAGCTTCCAGAAGGGCCAGGCTGGCAGCTTGGGCACGTGGGGGCTCCACTGCCCCCTTTCCGGGAGAGGAACCTGGGGCCACGCAGGGAGGGACTAGCTTCACGTCAGACCCCAGGAGCGGATGGCCACAGGGCGCAGAGAAACTGCCGGGCGCTGGAGGCGAGGGGATTGCAGGGTGCTGGGGGCAGGACGTCACCCCTCCCCTTCACCGAGACCCACTGGCTTGACCCTGGCAGGTGCGCTCTGCCGAGTTCCCTCACGGTACCAGAGAGACCAAACCCAGCCCAGACCCTGCCCCACAGTGCCTCTGCCTAGGGGAGCCTGCTCGCTGCAGACCAGCTGGACCCAGAGAATACGAGAGCATGGGCACGCTGCACACACACACCCCCACCCCCCAGGGAGCATGTGCACGCTGTGACACGCCTCCCACCACCCAGAGAGCACGCACATACTGCAGACACCCCCAATCCCCACAGGGCTGTGCATGGTTCACTCCTGGATCAGGACACAGGAAGGGTCTCCAAACGTTGCCAAATGCCCCTTCCTTGGAGGAAAAAAATCGCCACCCTGATTGGCAAGCCCTGCTTTATTAGGGTTTGTTTTTTTGTAGGGGGCAGGAGGGTGGGGGTAACGTTCACAGGCAGGGTTGGTACATACT